TCACTTTTCCAGATTATGCTCCATCACACTTTCCCTTGCCATACGTCTAAAATGGTAGTCTTCCTATTATACTGTCTCTTCCAAATAATAATTTGTTAGGTTTTCTTCAGCCTAGTGGTAGTTCTCCCTATCTCCCATGCCATTTATAAAAGTTTTACTTATTTTTAAAAGCAATGCTCAAATTGCACTTCTTCCTGAAGGGATCAAGGAGAAGGTCCTTTCATTTAGGAATGTTAACTTGCTGATGTAGTTAACATTTTGAAAGGATTAAAATAAAAAGAGATGGGGAAAGTAGCAGTCATTTATTGTTACATGAGACATATAAATTAGCAATTTTGATTCCCAGCTCCTGTTTGCTAGAATTACTCTCTTCCTTCTCTACACCCGTAAACCTCTGTTTTTTTTTTTTTTTTTTTCCTTTTTGTCTTTTNACTGAGGGTTGCGATCTGTTGCTGGACATGAAAAAAGACAAAAAGGAAAAAAAAAAAAGAAGACAACAGATTACATTTCCTGTCTTTGTTACATTTCCTTTTTCTTTAGTTTGTATTTTATTTTTAAATAATTATTAGGTGCATTTCATTTTGGGTACCATTCATTAGAATATAAAACGACCTCGTGTTCCTAAGAAATTGTACAAGCAATAAATACTTACAGTATTTCAGAAAGTGGCTGATATTACCTATAATGATTAAAGATGACTTATCTAAGGAGATGAGACCTAAGCTTTACCTCACTATGTAGCTGGGTACTATATGTGAGAAAACAGTACAAAGTCATGGCAATAAGAATGGGACAGAGATGTATGGATTAACTTTAGAAAATAAAGATGGAAAGATGGTTCAGTGACAGATAGTGGAAGACTACCTATACTAGGGTAAAAAAAAAAGTGAAACATAGCCTTTTATCTTAACAAATATAGTGCATTATCTAAACACCAGTATTCATTATTGCTTCTTTGGGTTTATACTTTCAAGGTACTTTTGTGTTTCTGCAGTAAGGTTTTCCTATTTCTTCATTTTGTCCTTCTACATTTGGCAGAATATAAATAGCTGTAAAATATACAGGAATGCTGAGGTACTAAAAGATTTATCTTTTTTCAGTTTCTTAATTTTCTAATGGCTCTGCTTACACAAGCAGATATGGTATTATTCATATCTGTGCTGCTATAATTCTTAAAATGAATTTACCTGAAACTAAATGTATCCCAACTGCTTCAAACTGCTGCTGCTTTTCAAAATATACATTAAACATTATATGGAAAAACATATGCAGAAATTTGGCAAATACAATAAAACATTTTTTTTTTTCTGGTTCTGAATTGGCCTGCTCCTGAGGGACTTTTATATTTATTCTTTGAGATACTTTTTTTGTAGGTATGTTTTTGTGTTGGTTCTAGTCAAGCCTTGATTTCCTTCTTACAGCACACAGAACTAAGTCTACGTTCTTCATTTTTGCACTGAAAATCCTCACACTTGACATTATTCACTTTTCCAGATTATGCTCCATCACACTTTCCCTTGCCATACGTCTAAAATGGTAGTCT